GAGCAGATTGATCCGGCGAAGGCGATCCAGCATTGGGGCACAGCACAAAGTATTGGAAGTAGCATGCCACTGTAGGAGCCTCAGCAACACAGGGTTTAGCATTTGTGGGGCTTGGGGTGTTAGGGCTTGAGTTCCGTCATTGCACTAAAAACATACCCCTATGCCTTGTTCTAGTTCCTCCGGCTCTTGTATAGACCTATGGTGAGGCGACAAGGTGTGGTACACACGCATTTCTGATTCTTGAGGCTCCTCTGCTCCATGCTGCTCAGAGAAAAAGGGCCCACATCTGCCTTCATGCACAGGCTTTCTGGGGCTGTGGGATTTGGGTTCTACGTTGTCGGGATTTGGGCTCATGCTTTGATGCTTGGAGTTTTGGGGTTTAGGATTTAGGGTTTAGGGTTGCCGCAAGTCCCAGCAACTTACGGTCATGGGCTGGCTTTCAACCCTGCGCCAACGATGAAAAACCAAGAGATTGCAATGGTCACTCTCAGGCTCCGACACCTTAACCCAAACTTTTCAACTCTCAAAGCTAGACATTGACCTACTACTGGAACTAGGGAGGTAAAGGAGGCCCTCAGACAAAGCAGCTCCAAGACGACCCCTAAACATACCTTGCCTGAAACCAACATGGACCCCCTAGACGTTTTTCGAGGGGCAGTATTCTATGACTGACCTGTCGCAGATTCCAAACCTAACGAAGCCCTACAGGGTTTGCTAAAAAATGAAAGCATAGAACCCCCCTAGAAGAGTTGAGTGAAAAGAACTCCCATACACACCTGCACAGACTAGCGGTTCACATAAAAAAAGCCTACAGGCTTGAACAAATAGACAACATCATAAACCTCCGAAGCATACATCAACAGCACAGAAAATCCTTTGAGCCCCCTATCAAAACCAATTCCAAGAAGTCTTTCGGAAACTGCCGGGCCATGGTGCGGCGACTTTGTGATGTCTTCCTTAAGGGACAGACCGAGGACTGTTTTTTTCGTTTGTTGTGCGATTGGTTGCGAGGTTCGGGCTGTCGAGCCTTTGTCTGGGAACTGTCCCGAATTATAGTGAATTCTTGGTCTGTTTTTTGGGGATATTATGGTTTTTGAAGCTGATACTACAAGCACCGCCAGAACCGCTAGCACCGCTAGCAACACTGCCACCAGGTAGTGGAGGTGGCGAGGTGGCCGTGGTGGTGGTCGTGGTAGTGGTATAGAACTAATGGAAGTGGTAGTCGTGCTGGCGGTAGTGGTGGAGGTGGGGTAGAGGCGGAGATGGTCGTGGAGTAGGGTAGGGTAGGAGCAGGGGCGCATCGGCAGCATCAGTAGTAGTCGCAGCAGCGTCGCAGAAACGGTTAGCAGCAGTAGCAGGAGCAGTAGCAGTAGCAGTAGCCGAGGCAGCGGCAGTGGCAGTAGCAGAAGTGGAAGCAGCGTAAACGCCGTCACGTTGGGTCCAATCCGGAAGATGCGTGATGTCTCCAACTATAACTTCCCTTACTTGGTGTACCGGCCGGCTTCCACACAAGCGGTTATCCAAGCACAGCAACCTTTGCTGATCACCGCGGTCGGAACTGCAAAGCGTGCAGCCTGGGCGGTTCAAGAGATGCCACGCATTCGCATTCCGTTTGTCTGAAACCCTAAACCCTAAAAAGCCCGAAACCCTAAACCCTAAACCCTGAACCCTAAACCCTAAACCTTCAGCAACGGACAGAAAAGCCTGAACCCAAGACCGTGAGAAGCCCGACAGCCAAAGCGCAGGATGCGTGCGCTGCCATCCCACTGTCCAGGAGGACCTGAGCAGACATACTGTTGATGATAAGAATCCTGCATTACCGTAAGGACCCTAAACTATGGCAATGCTGGTATATTCCTTACTGTGGGTAATGCAGGATTTATATCATCAACCGTATTGTGTGGGTCTAGGATTCAGGATTCGAAATTTGGGGGTACAAATGACATTCGCCCACACAGCCACAGCGGGCGGAGCTGATAGCAGTTCCAACGGAGGCGAGCTGCCTCGATGCTGCTGCTGGTGCTGTCGATGGCGGTGTGGCGTTGCTTTTTGTAATGCTGTCGCCTGTTCTGTTGCTACGGTTGATGATCTAAATCCTGCATTACCCACAGTAAGGGATATACCATAATTCCCATAGTTTAGGGTCCTTAAGGTAATGCAGGATTTAGATCATCAACAGTATATCTGCTGAAGTCATCATCGTCGTCGTGTTTGCAGGAGATTGGAAGGCATCCTGCCGGCAGACGTTCCCGCAGCAGGCCGCCATTTGCAAGGGCCCCCTTTTTTTTTGCCATGGCCCCCGCTGGCATTCCTAAGGTCCTAAGCCCAAAACCCTTAAACCCTAAGCCTTAAACCCTAAACCCTACCAGCAAGCACCAGTTGCTAGAGGAAAAGGGGCGAAACAAAAAAAAACAAAACCAAACCCTAAACCCAAGTTGGATCTAGATCTTTGGCCTCAAGCTTTTGGGATTCGGTGCGAGACCGGGCTTTGGTCGACTTTAGCGGAAGTCACTAGGGTTTAGGCTTTTAGGAGTTTACGAGTTTATGAGCTTAGGCGTTTAGGAGTTTAGGGTTTATGGCATCCGCGGCTGAACATGAGGTGTAGGGCTAGGGTTCAGGAGGAGTGATTTCAAGGAACCTGCATCAACTTGTAGCCGAATTTCCGCTGGATGCTGACTTCTGGAGACAGGCTCTAAACCTTTAGTGATCTCCACCCGACAAGTAGGAATACTTCTTAAGCAGCAAATCAACAAGAGATCCTGAAGCCCTACCTTTGAAAGTCTTTGGCATCTACAGTAGAAGCCCCAAAAGTTGGAAACCCAATAGCCTCAATCCTTAACAGTACTGTACAGGGAATCCCAGCACTATTTGATGCTAATCCGGCTTCCAAGTTTTTGGGGGTTTACTGACAGCCAGTGGCTTCAAGTTTGGAAGGTCAGTATAGAAACGTGCGACTATGTTTGGTTCCTTACATATCATGAATGAGAACAATAACTTCGTATATTCCTAAACCCTAAACCCTATCCTAACTTTCAGGCCTCTGCCTATTTTTTGAATGAGGGTGTTTCGGAGCTTGGCTTTTCGCCGTCTGGTGGGGGCTCTCAGCGACCCCGTGGCCACAATCTCCGTTTATTTCAGAAACGAAGACGTGCATCCTAGCAAACGTTTCGGGTGAGATATCCACTACCTTGTCGGCTGACTTAAGCAGGTGATTATGGGAGATCCCAACCTTATGGTTTTTGCTTACTATAGAGGCCGAGATAATCAGCAATATGATTCTTGGATCATTATATCTTAAAGGAGCCCCAAACCCTATTCTAATCATTAAGGCCCCTACATTAGGTGCCTTTTTGGGGGGTTCTTGTATTGGCCGCCTTCCGACCGACAGGAGCGCACAAGGATCTTGAGCCAGTCTTTACGGCTTTTTTGCAAGGTTTAGAGTTTAGGGTTTAGGGTTTAAGGGTTTAGGCTTTAGGGTTTAGGGTGGATACTATAAGAGTTCTATCGTGGAGGGGTCGGAGTGTGAAGCGTTGCCCCTATTCAGAGCCATCCTGTGCCTGGTGGCACGGCTTCTGTTGTACAGCACTGTGTCCGTGATGGAGAGGATCTTATGTACGAACCAGTGGCAAGTTACTATCTCTATGCCTTAGGGTTCCCAATGAGAGAGATGCTGAAAACTCCATGGAGGGCAAGAAGTATAGGAATCAGGGGTCTGCACGAACATTGAATTGGTATCTTTTCTTCTTAGGCCTCTAGCTGTGGTCGGTTTTGCGGCGGGGCGGGGCAGTAAGCCTCACACCCTAAAGCCCAAACCCTAAACGCTAAACCCCAGACCCTCAACCCTAAACCCTAAACCCCAAACCCCCAGCCCTGAACCACTAGAGCCCAAACCGTGGAGCAGGCACTTCCCAGTCATTGAGGAGGAGAAACTACACGGCCTTCTTGGCGATGCAATCCCTGGCGCTGAAGTCTCTGGCGCCGCCAAAGTCGGAGACGAAAATTCCTCTGCCGCCGCCAAAGTCGGTCTGGGATGAGGAGTATTTACTTTCAACGGGGCTTTAGGGACTTAGGCCTGTGGAAGGTTATTTAATAGAGGAACTGAGATTTAACTCACTGTTAGCTTTAGGGTGTTGCGTCTTAGGGTTTGAGGTGCTAGTTTGGAGAGTTTTAGGGTTGAGGGTGTCAGAGCTTTGTGTCTTTAACGCGAAAAGTTGTTAGCGTGAGTGATTCAGCGGTTGGCGGCCTAGCGGCTAGCTCGCATTATACGTTCTAGACGCTATATGATATGTCTTATTGTTCGGTATAGATGTATATACATTTTACATACACACACACACATACATACATATATATATATATGTCTCACATATATATATATATATATGTATACATATATATATATATACACATACACACATAGGTGTGTATGTATAGGCACTACATTTTCGTTTATTTTTATTTGTTCTATATTAGTACAGAGTGTGTGGATGAATCTGTTTTGTTTTGACATCTTGGAAGCTACAGGGTGCAGCAGGTGTCGGCTGTGTGGGCCTTTCGTTTTTTAGGTTTTTGGTTAAGGGGTTTAGGGTTTAGGGCGTAGGGTTTTGGGTCTAGGGCCAATGGTTTAGGGCTTTGGGTTAACGGGGTTTAGGGCTTAGGGCTTAGGTTTGGGGACTGAGGGTGGGAAGATCATGTGTTCAGGGTTTTGGGCGGCTTTGCGAGGGCTAGCTAGGAGTCTCTCTCTTTAGGGTTTAGGGTCTAGGGTTCAGGACAAGGGTTTCGGGGTGGACGGTTGGGGATTTGGTTGAAAGTCTTGCAAGTTGTAGGGTGTAGGAAACCCTACACCCTGAACCCTAAACCGTGGTGTAGTTTATGGCCTCGTGTGCCAAGCCCAAAATCACAGAACCCAAGGCCTAAGTCTGTCATGTCATCACTTTTTGTTCAAGATTCTAGCCCCTCATCATTCCAATCTGAATCACACACCCTGATCCCTCCATCCTCAAATCGTGCCCCGCACTTGTCAGTCAGGGGGCTTTGGGTTTGGGGCCTGAGCCTTCTCCAGTTGCCAAGTTCTGAACCAGCCCGGGTTCTACCCGTATCAGCCACAATCAACGCGACGGACACCATAGGGTTTCGTGGTTAGGGCGCTATATGTGGGACAGAACGGGTTTACATAGGGACCATCTCCTGAAGACCTGTTGACAGTACCTCATGTCCCAAGCTGTCGGCAGGACAATACGCACGACCCCCACGGCCACCTGCTGTCGCAGAACAAGGTCCGAAATCTTGTTCCTCAACTCAGAGCCCAACCTTAACCCCCAACTCATACATCCCAACCCCCGAATGAGTTCACATTTCAAAAGCCTGGATCCGACAACGCTATCCCAACTCCGTCCTTTTGGCTTAACAGAGTCGGAGGTCTCATCGTTGCGGTCTTGGCGTTGAGGGCTTGGGGGTAAGTCCTAGGTAGTATCAGGGAGACCCCTTAAAGGAGACCCTTCTGAACCCTACTTATGGCTCTCTCAAAAGGGATCTTATTGAGAGGCCCTAAACCCTAGGCCCTAAGCCCTAAATCCCCAAAAGTCCCCCCTAATCCTAACTCCCATTCAGCATCCGGACAGCGACTCGTCGCTTACAGCCAGAAGACCTCTGAGCTCGAAGCCCAAACAACCCTAGACCCTAAACCCTAAACCCTAAACCCAAAAGACCCTAAACCCTAAGCCCTGAACCTTACTTCCAAGCAACCCTGAGCCCTAAGCCCTGAACCCTACTTCCAAACAACCCTAAGCCCTAAGCCCTAAACCCACACAGCGGAAGCCCACAAACAAACGGAAGACCGGAGACCCAAAACTCCCTGGTTCTTAGTAGGGAATGGGAGAATGGATCCCTATGATAGCCCCCTGAAGGTCCCCTATACGGTTTAGGGTTTAGGGTTTAGGGTCCCCTATAGTAGTCCCAATAACCCATTCCCCCATTCCTTACTAAGACCGGGGACCCAAAAGCCCAGAGCAGCAGGTGTGTGGCTACACCCTCAAGCCCGGCGAGCCTTGCCCTGTTTACTGGGAGGTCCAATAGCTTTCGCGTGTTTAGGAGGGTTTAAGGCTTGGGGTATAAGGGTTTAGGGTTTAGGGTTTGGGATTTTGGCATTTAGGGTCTAGTACAGCCCAGTTGGAACCGGATAGGACTCATGATCTGGTGTCAAGCGCAGTCCCACTCCTGAAGCTCCACGCAGGCTTTTCCAGCCCAAAACGTTGAAATTCAGCACCCCACCCTGACGGCTCTTGGGAAGTTGAGCGCCAGGTTCGGGCACTCCGCGCTCTTACCCTAAACCCTGAACCCGAAGCCTTTATTGTGATTTTGTGCTTGCTGGGAGCCGTTGCAGGCCTGGCTCTTCAGCCGGATACCCAATCACTAGAGGGTAAAGGGGTTTAGGGAGTACGGCCCCGATTTATGAACAAAAGCCTCGTCACAGCCCTTATAGACCTCCCTGCCGAACGTTTAAAGGAATCTTAGTCTATTGATTCAGGCGACTTTACGAGAGACGATGCCTGTCATTTGCTCTCTACCGCGAGTATACTTCTGGTTTTTCAAGCGACAGGGTAAGGCCAGGGATCCTGTTCAGAGGTCCTCGCATGAGGCTTCCTGTCGTCTGCGGGTCCGTGTTAAGGTCTCCTTTTGCTGGGTGAAACTCCCATATCGGTTCAGGTTTCCGGGTGCTAAGATTCCTAGGTAGTATTAGGGAGACCCCTTAATTAAAGGGAACCCTTCTTAACCCTACTTCTGGCTCTCTTAAAAGGGACCTTATTGAGAGGGTCTATATCCCCAAAGGGTCCCCCCCTAATCCAAACTCCCAAAGATTGGGACTTGAGGAGCAGCGGTGCTGCGAACTGCCCAAGGACGACTGCCACAAGTGCTGCAACTCGACCGAAAGAAGCGAAACATGGGCTTGCCATAAACCCTAAACCCTAAACCCTAAACCTTAAACTGTGAGCCACAGCCCCTAAACCGGAAACCTCAGCCCAAACATAAGCCTTACAAACTAGTTCAACCCGAAACCTAAACCCCTAAACCCTAAACCCTAAACCGCTAAACCCTAAACCCTAAACCCTAAACCCCTAAGCCCCTAAACCCTAAACCTTAAGCCCTGACCGAAGGTTCGGGTTTCGGGTTTTGGGGCCACCGACCGGTCTCCGCTCATTCGGGCTTTGGGTTGAGTTCTTGTTGAGTTTAGGGTTTAGGGCTCAGGGTTTAGGGTTTTAGGGTTCA